ACGTCAATACTACTAGCATTGCAGGTATTGGTTATGATCAGGGCAATCCAAAGTTTTGATAGATTGCTATTCTATTCACATGTTAGAACTTGATATTGTCGATATTGTTGATTTAGCACGCAAATGACTGCTTTTATGTACACCATATTTGTTGCATGTATTCAATCATTCGATACTAAACAAATAATGGTGGTTTTATTTTCTTTTAGAAATGAGTGATTTCATGGCCACTGAATTTTCCACTAAACTTTAAGACCACAATCAGCTCTCTATTTATTTTCTTTGGCCAAGATGGCGCAAACATAACATTTTCATACACATCTTGTATCAATTTAGAGTTTTCTTTATTAGTATATTACACAATATTTGTGCTGTATTTTTATATTGAATTTATAAGACACAAAATTCATTGTTACTCTATCTTGTGTACGTGATATGCTTGAATTCAGATGATGTATTTGCTTCTATCAAACATAAAATATACCCTAGGAAATCCATTCTTTCCCACTTTTTCTCACAATTGACTCTTGATCCCTCCATTCTCACTCACGTTCTCCCCAATAATGAATATTATATAAGCAGAACAGAAGGGATATTTTAGACATTGCTGAACCATTACTGTTTTGGATCAAAACATTACACCACTTTGACACTAAACATATTTGTATATGCTTTTAATAGCTGAAGCTCTCCATATAAATATAGGCCTTCCTGCATATAACCATCTGTGTATTCCAATGTTTATGCACAGCCGCAAGTTTATATATATATCTTCCAATGTAAATATTTGAAACAGAACTGATGATGCCCACCATGAAACTTATCAAAATATTGAAAACTGATGTGTGTGAAGTATAATATTTAGTGATGTAAATAGACAGTGCAGATGGACCTGCTTTTGTTTTAAGAATCCTGGGCCCGTCTTATACAGAGTTGTGAATGATCCAAATCCATCTCAAGTTTGCAGTCTCCTATCTCTTATGAACATAGTTGCGATTGATATCAATCCCCAAAAAGTTGCTATTCATCACAAGTTTGCAGTCTTCCGTCTCTTATGTACGTAGTTGTGATTGATATCAATCCCAAATAAGTTGCAATTAATTGCAAATGTTTATAAGACAGGGCTCTGATCTTCCAATCATCTCTTTATTCTCAATCCTTTAAATATTGTATGATAAGGACACCACATAAGGACTTTACATATTGTCTGCTGAGAGCCAGAAGGGCATTAACCCAATCATTTTACAAAGTTAGCTCCCTTTTGACTCTTAAAGGCCCACTGCACTACTTGTAGCTACTTGCGCCCTCTATATAACAAACAATGCCTAATCGGTGAGCATTGGTCCCCCATGATCCTCTTTTTCTTATGTTAACTGAGAGCTGAGCTGATGAGATAACCACCTGTCCAGTGACCTTGCAGGGCGGTCTAATCTCTCCTGTAAACTACGGCAGATAAGCTTTAAAAGGACAAGGTTTTACCAATTTTAGTTTTTAATTACAGAACCAAAGGCCATGCGGCATATTCCTAAATGAAAGGATACAATGTATGTTGACTGAGTGTGACTCATATATTTCAGAGAGCTCATAAGTCCCTAAAATGTTCTTTATAATGTTACCAATTTGCGTCTCCAAAACTGCCAAGAGCATGAAACACAATTAAATAGTAATCAAGCCTAAATGGGGTAGGTAGCGATGAATGCAAATTCCAACTTTGATGAATTCTTTTACAATCTATGCAAGTCACCGACTGGAAAACTTCAAATAATATCACATTAATGCTAGTTCATCTAAAGTGTTCTGTTTATTTTACTAATGTACACCCACACAATGTAAACAGCAGAAACAGATTTGAATATATCTCAGATCTAAATGGGGTAAGTCACAGTGAATGAACACTCCAAACATTGATAAATTCCTTCAGTTTACATGTAAGCAAATCACTGACTGGAAAATCATCTGATTAAAGTTCAAATACTATTACATGAATTTGGTTCTAAAACATTTCTTTTATTTTACCTATTTCCACCCTGTCCCACGCTCCCCTTCCAAAAAATGGGCAAATATGAAACATATTTTAATCCCTCAAATCTAAATGGGTTAAAATCACAAGAATAAACATTCCCAATTATGATGAATTCCCTCACAGGATATGCAAGTCACCGATTGGAGAAAATAATAATCTAACGAAAGTCCACATACTATTACATTAATGAGGCCCCAGCCTGTTTCTGGCAATGTTAAATGGATAATCAATGAGTTCTGGTATTCTGTCAGACCTCATAAATGTCATTTATATCCAGAATTTAACACCCCCATACATCCCTCCCACCATCGATCTCACTCACTCATCGGGGGAAAAAGAAAAATCTGCCTCTATGCAAATTAACCCCAATATTTCTCATCAGTCCCTGCCACATCCAATTCATCACGCTCGAGAGTGTTAAGCTAGGGTGCGAGACTAAAGTAGAAATTGGGTAAATTTGGAGAAGAAAAAAAGAGATGAGGGGCTGATTCAATTTGCCCCGTGACCCCAATTTGACACATGTCTCTAAATCCGAACCTGATGTGAACATGCTGGACCTTAATAATCACATCGGGGTTGGTGTCCGAGTTCGAACTCCTCACACCCCACATAATGACCCTACCACACCATCTTACCCCCACCACCACCATCATCACGCTCCTCGACTCCTTTCTCATAATTCCTCTTTCTCCTTTTTAACAGTTGTGATACCACTCCAAACTCCTCTAAATAATAGGACCAGGCACTGCATCCTAATGCTATTACATCCAATAAATTGGAAACATTACTCCTTGTATGTTGGGCAGGGGTGAAAGACTTCCACCTGATGTTATGAATGCAAGACGATGTCTGTTTTAATGGACAGCGACACGAAGACGATTGAAGCAGATTGGAGATGCCTTCCGAGAACATTTCATGAAATTTTATTTTTCCCATGCTTGGGGGAATGTAAGGTGGGCTATTGATTCTCCCAAATGACTAAATCATCTACTCAATGTGGTTTTGCTGGCATGTGACTCTTTTAGTTTGGTTTGATTGGATGATCTATCAACAATTCTACATTGATAACCAGGAATCATGAAGACCATGAATGAAATTAGATAGAGTGATTTTTCTGACAGAGAAAGTGATTGAGAAAGATATCTAGGATCACAATGCTTTCAGATAATGCATCAACCAGATCTATTTGAAGAAGGCATCATGCTTGATAAGGGGAAGCAGGATTAATTTTGACCTACATTGTGATAAACAATTGTAAAGGTAGGAATATTGAGGAATGAGATAGATAGAGATGCGATGATCATGATGATGATCAAGATAATGATCGATGATTACTAAGAAAGCATAATGTTTGTAAGTAAACAGTCAGGTAACTACTGGCTTTAAGTTTTCTCTAAGTTTTCTTGGTTGTAGGGGGCAGGGGGTTGGGGGAGACAACTAGAAAGAGGTAGAAAGAGGAGAGAGAGAGAGAAACAGAAAGACATAAAGAAAGAGAGATAGTTGATAAGGCAACGACTGAAAGACGAGTATAAACAGAAGACAATTATAAAGACAGTCAGAGGGTGGCAGCGGAATGATGGACAGCACTGGAACAGAAGCACAACCAAGAAATTATCTCCTTAATTAAATCAATTTCATAAATCCA